TCGTTACCCAGTGAAAGATACTTTATTAGTTACCTGTTGATACGGTCCCAGTGTCCTTGTATTGACAGGTATGACAGGTATTTTTCCACAAAATACCTGTTTGTTTGGTCAGTAGGTACGGCAACGCCGCTATCTTCCGTTTTCTGATGTCACTTCTGGATTGTTAAAATCATAGGTTCATTTTAGTCGATGATTGTTCTTTTCCCTCCGATCGCCATATTGACGTGGCGATCGGGAGGAGATTGTCCTTTCTTGGTGGAATCCTTGCCTGTATGGATGCTGGAGATGTTCCTGGGAATGTTTGGATGCTGTTGGAGATTATTATGGATTTGTTACAAGGCTTAGACTGAATGAAGTAGATTTGTTTTTTTTTTGATGTGCCATATGGTTATCCTATTCACGTTTTTTGCCTTTTTCTTTTCTTATTCTTTTAATAATTTTCATTAGATTTGGACAACAATTTTGAATTGATCCACTAATTTTTGTCAATTGTTAATGGTAGCTGGATAAGTTGTTAGTTACGTTTTGGGGTAAGGTATCATAACTTAAAATCCATAAATATTAATTTAAATATTGTCCACAGGGGTTTTTCCGGTTTTCCTTTTTACCTGGCTCTCCTTTTTTTCTGTGGTGGTTGTATTTTTACATCCACCTTGTTTTTCAACTCAACAAAGATTTGTGGCCTTGCTGATGCAGCTGTAGTTCCTGGAGTTCACCCTGTTCAACATTGCCGTGCTCAGCTGTTGCTGTAGGATAAGCTACCCAGGCTTGTATGCTTTTATTTTGGGGTACACTATAAAAAGGCATAGATAGTAAAGTCTGATTTAATTTTATTATTTTTTTTCATAAGTAGTTTGCAATATCTGTAATATTTCACTTAAGTTAATTATATACTTTAATTACAAATTTAAATAATATTTTAACCACAATTGATTTTCAAAGTTTAAACCTATTTCATTTCATTTTTTGTTTCTTATAAAACAGACGTATTTTATAACTAAGCATTAATTTGAATTAATATATTTAGACTTAGTATAGTAGAAACTTACTTGTTTTATTGTACGAATGAGGTTCCACCTTGGCAAATAACATCTTGTCCTAATAACAGTTTTCTGAATATTTAATGTTATTTAACTATTAGGTAGATTCAGTGGCGCTCATTTGAACACAAACCTTGTATTGACTGTATTGTATTCACTAAGAGTGGGTCCCAGGTGGGACCCTCCACTGCGGCCGCGAGGGCCTATTGTGGCTACTACAAACCTTACTCACTCTATAATGCCCTCCAGGCGAACAGCACAGTTTCCTAATGTATTAATAAAATTGTATTTTATTACGTTGCGTTACAGATGTTACAAAGCCTTCCAACTTGACTTGGATAAAACAGTTAATACGGTACAAGTGAATCACGCGCAGCACTATTATAAGTACAGCTATATGGCAGAATACATATTCAAAAGTTGTACTCATTTCCGGTGAAACAGGAAGTGATCGAAACTAATTGAATACCTTATTCAATCCCGATTTATGTCATATATTAACATATAGTTCATATCAGATAAACTTTTAGTTACGTGATTAAGCTTGACCGGCACAACGTTGCCCACTTTTACATATTTTCTTTAATCAAAATATTTTAGGAAACAAAAATAAATTAATTATAAATATATCAACAGTTATTATTTACATCAACAAAACTAACCTTCTTAACAGCAATTAAGGGACATAAAGGGCCATTACGGCCGCTTTCCCGTTCAAAATATTCTAATAAAGTTGCGATGAGTTTTTTTACGTCTATTAACACGTTGACTGCCCAAATAGTAAATATTTTTTTGTATGTGGGGCCCAATATTTTTTTGTTTAAATGTGTCAAAAATGTTATAAATAAGACATAAAATGTTTAATGTTAATATTATTTATTTTCTGAGTCATAGTTCTGAATGCGATGCACGTGTGCATCGCGGAGCCTCAGAGATAAAATTAGTTTTGTTTATCCTGATCGTTCGAAAAAAAGTCCCAAAGAATAGTTTTTATTTCATTTTTTATTGTTGCTTATTTGAGCTCTACTACTTTTGCTACTTATCATGTTATCATCGGTTACTTATAATGTTTATCTCCAATTTTTATAGTATTTTTAATAAAAAATATCAACACATTTGTCGACTTGTTAATTAATGATCGATAGTATGATCTTAAATAACACCCTTTATATTAGAAACCTAATTGCGAAGCACGTATGAGCGGCGGGGCCCTTCTTCTTATTATTATTTAATAACATATCTCATAAACCGCAAATTCTAATACCGTTATGACATTGTTCGGGTGTATAATTTTCATATCTGTGGGATCCTATAAATCCTAAGGCACTTTTCCAGGCTCCACACCTACAAGTTATTTTCCTTATCAGATTCTACTTATACATATTATGGTGAATACATTAATATTAAAATATTAGATATATTATTCTATCCTAATTCTTTGGAATATGGAATTGTCAATAGGGGAATTATTACTAATAATTAATTTATGGAAACCCCATATGAAAAATGTATTCTAAATAAAAAATATAATAAGTTAATTTTTTTAATATATATATATAATAATATATTTGCATATTTCTTAAATTATATCATGTTTTGCTTTATAGATGTTTGCATTTTATTTTAATTACCTACCTGGGGCGCTATTCTGTACAATCGTCGGTATCGGCAAGTTACCGACAGCTATCGGTACGTACGGCCAATGAGCGTCGTGTTGATTGTTGTCATAGTTACCGATCGGCCCTATGATGATTTTACAGAATAGCGCCCCATCGGTATCGGTAAGTTACGACAGCTCTCGATACGTATTTGTATATAGTAAAAATGTGTTAATTGTTGTTGCCATAGTTACCGATCGGTCCTATGGCAGATATCGCAAATTTGTACCGACGAAAATCGGTATCTCTACCGTGCCCTTGTCAACCTCACGGTAGAGATACCGAGAGTCGTCGGTACAAATGTGAGATATCTGTCATAGGGCCGATCAGTAACTATGACAACAACAATCAACACGACACTCATTGGCCGTACGTACCGATAGCTGTCGGTAACTTGCCGATACCGACGATTGTACAGAATAGCGCCCCTGGAAAGCCCAAATTTTATCGTAAGGTAATAAAAGTACCTTTTCATACAACTTGTGTTGCCATTGTCAGTTTTTTTGGATTTTTCTTCTAAATTTAATGATTATCATGAACAGTAATTATGACTGTTAGTAGTTAATTGTGTAATAAATTTTAATGTTTGATAAAATTTAGTAAAAACTGAAAAAAATGACAATGGCAAGACAAGTTGTATCCAAGTACTTTTTATTACCTTTTGATAGAAAGGTAGATAATTCAAGTTAAATGCAAACAGCTAAAAAGCCAAAAATTTTATAACTTAAGAAATATGCAAATATAATATAATTTATTACAATATTTACTACTAATTGAAGAGCACACGGGAAAACAATGAAAGTACCAAGAAGGCTACACCTTTTGGTACCTAAATAAACGGGAATATCGATAACGGTCACATAGAAACAGGCATTTAAAAATGGGAAAAATGATATAAAAGTCCATGCGTAATTTGAATTAAAAAAAACGCTTTCTTGAACATTTATCATTTCTGGATACTCATCGTTTTTCCCGTATGCTCGTCAATTGTTATATTTACTGTTACATAAAATTTAGTAAAAACTCTAAAAAACTTGTCAATAGCAGAACAAGTTGTATGCACGTATTTTTATTACCTGACGATAAAATTTGGACTTTCCAGTTAGGTAGTTAAAGTTAAATACAAACATCTAAAAAGCAAAACATGCTATTTAAAAAAATGCAAATATCTTAAAAAATAATTTAATATGCACTTTGCCAACCGGTAAATACTGGAAAATCCAAAACATAATAGTAAAGTATCTACTACTACTCTAATATATCTACTAAAATAATAAACTAATTGTTAAAAATAAATATTTTGTGCATATTTCGAGTCAAATATTTTCTTAATTTATATGTATATTTTTAAAACAATTTATTCATAATTGAGTTTCCATAATTATACTTAATATGTCTAATACTTTAATTATTATATACTTAATATCCTATACTATATAAACATATACCTTCCTTCATCTTTTGGGCACCTAAAGAACGATATATTGCCTGTCATTCTACTTTCACAACCATCCACTGCACAAATATTTCTAGTAGACATTTTATTCACAATTCGAACAAAATAACGAAAACACTATTTTTGGTTCACCCTATGCGCCGGACCGAAAACAAAACTAAAATAAACTTGGAACGCTGTGTACACGTCGAGCAACGGATGTAGACTGACACAAGACTACAAGACAGGCGGGGAGCGGCGGGAGGAATTTTGATACGGGCGAAGAGTGGGCCAACTGATATATTTATATTCTTTAAATTGTGCCAACGCATAGGGGCCGGCGCGAAGCACACGCGCCTCGCGTGGCAGTCAACGTGCTTTAAGTATCTTGTACATTGTACACATCGCACTAAAAGAGGTTTTAAGAACAATGTTCGACTGCAAGGTCTGCCAATAAACAATTTCAAGCTTAAAGTATCACAACATTATTTGTTTAAAGTGTCAAAATGAATGACAATGTCTGAAAATAAATAAATAATGTGGCAACTTAACATGTTTTACAGCAGAGCTACCACCTGAAACCCCAGCGGGAGATTTAAATTCCAGTTAATCAGCCCGGTGCCGAATATATCCAATATATCCATGGTTGGCATCAATGAATTTAAAAATCGCGCCCTCGATTACGTAACTAAAAGTTTAATTGGTATCGAATATACCAAATCTCATTTTTATCTGAAAAATTTCTATGATTTTTAAAAAAGATTGAAGTTAGACTTTCAAACAGGAAATCTCATATAGAGCTTTTTCAGAACATTGACTCACCCCATATCATTTTATTTTTAGTATAAGGTTTTTTTTTTCTTTTAGGAGCGAAGAAACTAGTTCATCATTTATCATCTAATAAAATACCAATATCGGTGGCCACATCGTCGTCAATAGATAGCTTCGAACTGAAGACAAAAAAACATAAAGAGTTTTTCAAATTGTTTGATCACGTGGTTTGCGGCGGGACCGATCCAGAAGTGAAACAGGGTAAACCATCTCCTGACATCTTCTTAATATCGGCTTCTAGGTAAGAGGTTAAAAATAATTACACTTAAATCTTCTATAGGGTCAAGCGGTGTAAAAATGAGACATTTTCCTAAACTTATTATATACTCTCCAAAAAATCCTTTATGGGTATTTCGCCACTGCACTGCAAGACAAATCTACAAAATAAAATAGTTATTTTTTGTAAACATTTCTGTTAAACCTAAACGGACACTGCTTGTCAGAAGTTATGTTTACAGTAATAAAAATTTGCCTAACAAAAAAAATGCTTAACCCTCAACTGGCGTGGTGAATTTTTGCAACGCTTATGGCGTGCTGGGGTCCGACGGACCCCATTTTTTTTCGGCTTAAAATACATGATGAAGATATTTTATAAAAAGCTTGTTATTGAACGTAACACTGTTTACAAAATATTGAAACTTGTGAACAAACAGTTTCATTAATAATTTTCAACAAATTAATGAGCGGACACAAAAATAAAGTAAAACGCATTTTTTAGGAATTTTTGACAACAGAAATATAACTTGGCTAAGAAACTCATAGAAATTAAAAACATATTTTATGATTTTACCGTATTATTAAAAGTACAAACAACTGAAATATGAAGCTAAAATAATAAACATAAATTATTTTCAACAAAACTGCAAACCTTGAATGTACATAACTTTTTCAAATACAGTTCATACTAATATAGGATCTGTATTTGCCGCACATAGATCGTGCACATTTGATTCATGAGATTTTTGTTTTTTGTCATTTCTTCATTGACATATGATTGCCATATACCACATCTCTTTCTTTTCTGGTATTGATTATTCAATTTTCTTTCTTCTATAAGTAAGAGATTCAGAATCGGAGTTATGGTTACTCTTCGGAGAAAAATCAATGTTTCGATGGTCTTCATCTCACTTAAGCCTCTTTAAGTTCATCAAACCACTGAATTAATGCTTCCTCAAAATTAGCGTCCCAGTGAGGCACACTTTTTAGACTACCCTCCATTTAATATGAAACATTCTTGGCGTGGTGGTGCCACACAGACCCCAATGAAACTTTAGCCCCCGCTGGTAAGAACAATACTTGATAAAATCAAGTGCGCCTTTAACAGTTGCATATTGGTACCCTAACTTAAAGGTAAATGGCGCGGCGAGGCCTAATTCTTAAACGTAAACATTTTACAGAGGTTTAAATAGTGCTTGGGGTCCTCTGGACCCCACCACGCCAGTTGAGGGTTAATGTTTCAGAAAGTTTATCTCTTTCCGTCGTCGGAAGCAAAAAAATACAAATAATAAAGAAAAAAACTATTTAAAAGTGTTCTCGAATAGTTGAATTTAAATATTTTAAATAGTTTTTTTCTTTATTCTTTGTATTTTTTTGCTTCCGACGACGGAAAGAGATAAACTTTCCGAAACGTTAAGCATTTTTTTCTTTGTTAGGCAAAATTTTTATTACTGTAAACATAACTTCTGACAAGCAGTGTCCGTTTAGGTTTAATGCAGAAGTGTTTACAAAAAATAACTATTTTATTTTGTAGATTTTTCTTGCAGTGTGAAGTGACGACTTGCAGTGCAGTGACGACTTGCAGTGCAGTGACGAAATACCCATAAAGGATTTTTTTGGAGAGATGAATCCGCCACATGACATAGGTATAGATATTTTTTATTATATACTATTTCAACACAAGTATTTCTTTTATAAAAGACGTTTGACTAAAGAATACAAGGACCAATAACACCCTAGACCAAATAGTTACCATGTCTCCAAACAGTGCCGTGCCCCATATTTTTCTTAACTTATCTTCTTGAGATATTTATATTTTTGATAAATGTTTTGACTACGCCAATATACATACAAAATGACGGCGATCTTTATTTCATAGCCATCGCTGACGCCGTTTTTGTTCGATCATACGGTACTATACCCCAGTCAAATTAGTTAAAAAAGGTGGAAAAAATTACCACAGTTTTAAAAATGGTTTTAAACGATTCCTCTAGACTTAGACTCATATGTGTCAAAAGTCCCCGAAGATAGACGATGAGCTCGAGGAGTGGGGAGGAGTTAAATGTCAATTTTTTCACTTTTTTGCTTATATCTCGGAAACTATGACATCTACCGAAAAACCCTCTATATACAAAAATAAAGCTGACAAAATTCTCTATAAAAATGATTGTATACATTTTTGTTTCCGGACTTATGGTTTTCGAACTATGCCCTTCATAAATTTGGATACTAAATCCAATGGTATATTCCAAATCCGTACAAACACATTTCTTTCATTGCACGTTTTTCGTTCAAATAGCGTTAAAGAAGTACAATATCATGATTTTTTAAGTATTAAGCTGTACGCACACTGGTGCGATCAAGGCCGCGATCACGATCTCCATGCAGCCGCGGCCAAAAGTTGCTGAAGAATACATATGAGCCGTTTCACATTGGCGCGATCCAGTGTTGGACAGGAAGCGGCCTCGCGGCGTTCTAAGGTCTGTTCCCAGAAGAAACCCTGACTAGTCAGCACTTTCTCATTGGTTAAAATGCCTAGAAACCTGATTGTTAGTCTGGTTTCTACCCATTTCAACCAATAAGAAACGCGCTGACTAGTCAGGGATTCTTCTGGGAACAGAGCTCTATTCTGCGGTGGCGATCAGATTCAACTTGTCCAGTTTGATCGCGTGATCGCGACCCAACTGACAGGGATTTTCCGTTATTTTGTGTGTTTTTCTTGTTGCAATTTAGAAATGGAGTTAACAGAGCAGCTAATTAAGGCTGTAAAAATACACAAAATTCTATATGATTTATCCGATCCAAGTTACAAAAAATACAATTAAAAATAAAAAGTTTAAATGTTGTAGGTAAATATTTAAGAATGTTTTTTTTTTTCGGTATACATAATTCACATTTTTAATTTGTACCTATGTATACCTACAGGATGGCGCACTACATATAGGTACGGCGGTGAACGTGAACACGTTGGTGTGTGCTAGAATGATCGCTCATGTTATCGCTGCCCTGATCGTGATCATAATCGCGGCCGTGATCGCACCAGTGTGCGTGTAAGTATAACTTTTAGTATATACCTACTGTGATTTTATAAATTTTAGACGTGATGGCGTTCACATAAATCACTCCTTCACTGTTACTTGTTAACAAGGATAATGATTTCCGATCACTTATTTTGCTTTATTTTTTGTGTAATTAAAAGAATCAAAACCGACATTATGTACATAATATATTAAAGAAACAAAATAAATAATAATACATAATATATTTATAAAATAATAGTTCATGTTTCTGAATTAATTTTTGTGTCGGAAATAAGAAATACCTTCATAAAATTCTTTATTTCAAAAGTCTTATAATGAACTTTATCTTTAATAACGTAGATTTTTTTTTATAATTTAAATTTCATAATATATTATACGATATTGTACAAAATTAAAAAAAGAATTTGAAAGACCTACTAAATTAAAAGAGTAAGCGATACATGCATTATTATAAATAGTAAATTAAAATCACTTTTTTTATTGAATACAAATTACTTGTCTAAAACGAATAATGTGGAATAATATAGATAATTTTAAAGTATGGGGACTCATGTTATGTATGTGGATATCATTATTGTATTCAATTATTGTAGGTTGAGAAGTTTCAGAAATCACACTTTCATATGCGCTTTTAAGACTCTTTGAAATTCTGCGAGAGAAGACTGATACTCTATTGGCAATGGGATTGGGTAGTGCAGATACGTAAATATTACATTTACGTTAACTGTAACTACAGGAACAAATGATGTATCATCGCAATATACAACTTCGGGGGACCAGACCTCAAATTCTAATGCCTTAAATGCTTCGTGCTACTTCGCAGTAACATTAGAAAAATCTACTGCAGGCGGGGATAGAAATATTCAACTCTGAGCAATCATTGACTGTGAGCAATCCACCATGATTCTTGGTTTTCGTATACTTTCTACAATATTTGCAGAGCTGCGCTATATGCTGTCGTATACTTTTTGCATTAATCTTTAACTTGCAGTGTAACTAAATGTAACTCCTGGCTCTTTCTTATCGTTGCGTTGCTTTTACACTTGAAAGATGAACAAATCACCATTGCAATAAAGTTTATACAAAGTTTACACAACAAACAATTAAAAATCGCTAAAATTGTCGCTGGTGACACATCCTTTGTCTCCAAAAAAATGGCTTCTAACAACACAAATTCTGCCCCAGCCCATACGGGACACAACGGGCGTATATATGGGTGTTACGTGTCCTTGTTTTCTTTAGTCATTGGTGGTAAGGGAACTATTGCAAAATATCCAAAAGTAGCCCAAAAAAGCCAGTATTCAGAAAAGAATGTCTCATTTAACCATGCGTAGCAAAAAAACTCGAGTTTTTGGATTATAACATCTGCAACTTATGACATCAAGCCATCTTGAAAAGTAATACATTAAAACCGAATATGATTTACCAGCAAACTCCATTATATCACTAGCTATTTTTACAAAAGTAGCCAATTTTAACTTATTTAAGAAAAATTGAAACCTTTTTTATATTATCACTAAACAGGTAACGATGCAGAAAATCAAGCAAATGCCAATATATATTAGGCTTAAACGCCAAAGGTCGCTTTAGGCCAGCCGTTAGTAATTTGCCTAATTAGAAGTTTTAAAGTATAAAAATGCATTTAGGACACAACAAATTGCAACATTAAATCCGTTTGCTTTTCTATCGCTTTTAAACCCACTTTAGTTTAACTAATGTAACAATAAATGCGAAAAAGCGCGAAGGGTATAGACGTAGAAAATTACGAATCAGCCCGAACCAATCAGTGATTCGGGTTTCATATACATGCTGATAAATTCTGATTTTAAGATATGTGTAATTCTATTTAATTCTTTTTCCATTTCTACTTAATTGCAAATGTCCAAAGCAATTTTTATTGATTTTCCTTATTCAATGTTAATTAGAGCTGATCAATATTGTTGTGATGAATATAATCAGATTAAATAAATTAAAAAACCAGAGTCGGACTCTCAATTATTTTAAATAACAGTTAAATAGTTTTGTTACTGTTAAGGTACCCAAAACAAAAAAAAAGTATCAAGTGTGGCATATCATTGTACTCAGGAGACCAAGTTCTTTCAAAACCTGAAATAAAAAATGCAGGTCCGTATTTAAAAAAATTAAGTTGGCCTCTGTATCTAACAAATTATCAGCTAATCTGAAAATATAAAAATAACATCAGATAACCCTAATAAAGTGGCTATGAGAATGTGCAATTAGTTTTTTGATTTTCTAAAAAGTAACGACAGGAAAAAAATGATGATTGATTTTCAAAAAAATCCGTTTTTTCCAAAAAACTCAGCAATCCTTGAAATTTTTAAAACTTTTTTGATGGCATCTTGGTGAACATGCCAAGGCGCAACTTTGCCCCAATTTAGCCATCGTATCATCATATCTATTACGGATTCCGAGATACCAATGCTCGTACCTCGAATTTGTAGCACACTGTATATTATCCATTTGTTAAATAATAAATAACAATTAGAGATATCGTTATTAGTTTATTTCTTGTACTAGTCGTTGTGATTAATGTATTTGAAATAAATATAAAATCAAAAAACGGCTTACAATATACAAAACTAATTTTCTACGTCTGGACATGTAAAAAATGTAGAAAATTAGTTTTCTACGTGTAGAAAATACGGTAGAATACATAAAATTTTCTACCTACCCAACTCTATCCATACAATATGGCCCCAACTGCAACAACAACTTTTTAAGACTTTGTTTAAACAGTTTTTCATTTAATAATAATTATTATTATTAGCTAGTCTAGCTTAGCTAGTTTAGCTCTTAGCTAAGTTTAGCTCATAGAGCCATTCATAATTAACCTAATACCTAAATATATATAATTATAATATGCAAAATAACTTGCCGATTGCCGAGCACGAATTAAAAAAAGTCTATAAGATTATTAGTTTTATCTCAGATACCAATATACTTAAGAATAGACGAAGTATGAAATGCCCTGCTAAAATCTAATAATATTAATACTGTAAAATTACCATTATACTACTATCAACAGAAGCGAAAGGCCAAGAAATGCGTTCACTGGATATACAACCCTCTACGCAACCCATTTTGGCACCTATAAACATTTGTAAGTAGTATCAATGTTCTGAATGTCGGCTCGAGATATATATAACAGAAGCCAAGAGTCTAAGGAATGCGTTATACAACTCTGGATATACAACCTTATATACAACCCATGTCGGCACCTATAAAATCTGTAAGTAACATAAGTGTTCTGAATGTAGCTCGAGCTGTTGTAAACCGGCAAGTAGTTAGTCTATAGTTAGTGTTAAATCAGCTACGGTTAGTTAGAGCATTGTTTTTGAGTATACGTTTATGGCGGATTCATTTCTTCAAATAAGTCGTTTGGGTATTTTGCCATTGTAAGAAATACCCATAAGACCTTTGAAGAAATTGTTTTAATGTTCTATGGTCACTCTTCAATTGCTTGAAACTCTTGTCCTGTAATGGAAATTCCAAAAGTAGCAATTAGTGCATAGTAAATTAAATAAGTGTGTATTTTTGGTGTTCTTTAATTTAGTGATTAGGACTAGTTTAATATTGTCTCATTAAAAGACATTAGGTTTAACAAATAAATAGAAAACATTTCTGTTATAGAGTGCCATATCTGTGCCATATGTGTTTTTGAAGCATTGGACGTGCCATCAAAATTCTAATTTTTAGTAGAGCTGCACCCTATTTTTTAGTTGTATTTTTGATTTATTAAATAAAGAAAGTGAAACAACCCTATTGTGTAAACCGTAATAACTACAATGTGTACTATAATATTACAATAAATTATTATTAGTGTTAAATATTAAAATTATTATAAGTCGTTATCTATGATTCATATTTTTTATTCACGACTCGTCTATAATTTCATTATTATACATGAGTTTACGAAATAATAATATTCATTATTCACCGCTTCCATGGATATCTCGATCCAAACTCTAAACGGGAGCTGTCAAACATTACCATTAATGTAAATAAATAATTTTTGTTTTAATTAGTTAAAGCTAAATTAGTTAGCTACCTAGTTAAAGAAAATTTAATTGTTTTATTTCCATGTTATTTACTCGTTATACTCGTTCAATATTTTTTTGACATTAAAAATAAAAACTTATATTAATATTATCTAAATTTTTTTGATAGTCCTGGATAATAGTATATTATTCAACGAGCATATAATGGTGGCCATTATTCACGCGGATGAAGTTTATGGTTTGGTTTGGTTGTAAATCATTTTTTATCCTTCATATATTTTCGTTTACTTTTTTAGCTGTTGCATTTAAGAGTATGGAAGCTGATTTTTACAAATCTTATCTTCGCTTAGCATAGTTTAGTATCGCTCGCAGTGGCCGCCTGCCTTTAAACTCGTTAGACAGCTCAAGTGACGATTTGCAGGTCCAATATTAAAACAGATCAATAATAAATAAACAAATCTAATCAATATTTATATTTTTATAGCTTACAGAACATTCACGATTACTTGTTGTCTTGTTTTTCATGTTTTCTTTAAATGTTCCTGACTTTAAGAAACAATGGCTGCATGATAAGTTTAAATGGTCCTAAAAAGTCATTATATTTAATTTCTTTTATTGAAATTTATTTACCTTTACTGCCTACCTTCATTGCTTTTGGATGTAAATACAAAATATTATTACAAATTTTAGAAATTAAATGAGAATTTCACTCGAACTTCCAATATTAGCTTGATTTCTGTCACATAAATTACATTGATTGACAAACAAAACCAGAAAATCCAGCCTTGTCGCTCTGGTTAGTTCGGTGACACGTGTTATAACGTGTTCCTTAATAAGAAAACTTTCAGGAAACCGATTGAAACGGAACATAAAACCATAACTAAGGTAAGCAACGGAATACACCCTTTTAATGTATAGAAAATATAGGGTAAAAATAGGTTGACAACGTATTGTTACGAATTCCGTGGGTCCACTAATTTAAACACACGATAAAATACTTAACGAATTTATTTTTTTTTCTCACTCTGTACACACAACTATTTACAACACAATTTATGCAACTACTATTACTCTAACGATTCTGGCACCTTCGCCAATTAATTCACAATTTAAAACGCGGTATTATCAAACTTCAAAACTGTGAACTGCCAAAGCGCGGGCCTTTATATACCCCCTGGCGAGTGTTTCTGGAACGTTCTAAAGAATTCTGTAATTTTCTTTTACTTTCTGGCGAATTCGCCAGGTTCCTCAATGCACGTGGCGGTTATGTAGCAGTAATGCAGTTATGCAACCAGTAATACAGTTTAGCGCTACATACACACATACACCTTGACAGTATGTTGGCATTTGCATGGTTTTGCATTGTTACCTGTTCAGTTTTAATTTAGAAATAGAGCAAATTAGTCTTAAATTTGTTAAAATTGGCTTGTCCAAAATTGTTTGAATTTGACATGTGTATTTACCCTACACAGACCTATTCACAAACAGTTCAAAATTTGCATGGGATTTCCTGTTACAAATGACGATGCACCCGTTATAATTACTTAAGCCCGGCTGATACGGTTGAAGTGTACTTGGACCGTGTAAGTAAACCTGCCATATATAGGGTGTCCCATTTTGGTTGAAATCATACGGTATCTCCGTTATTCGTGAAGATAGAAGGGTGGGGTTTGCACCTGTGCCACTTTTTTGTGAAACGGAAGATGCCCTAAACAAAATATTTTATAGCCCTCTTCGTTTCTGAGCTACAGGGTCTTTTTGAAAAACACTTGTTATTGGAATATGTTCGCCATGTGGCGTCGTGAGAACGGTTTCCTTGGTCCTTCGTCGCATCCCGACTCATGTACTTGTACTTGGCCAGCCTTGTCTATACTTGCCGAGGCGCAAAAAAAACGACTGCGCAAATAATTGTACTGTTAAGGTACATTCAGGCTGAGAGCGTCGAGCGTCGCGTCGCCTTTGGGTCGCGTCCACGTGTCGAAATGTAATCAATTCACTTAAATTAGACCGTTCAGGCAGACAGCGTCGCGTTTGGCGTTGCGCTAGCGTCCGCTGAGCGTTGGGGTTCGAGTTCAATGGGGCGGACGCGACGCTCTCAGCCTGAATGTACCTTTATAGAGAATGTCCCGTTTATTTCCGGATTGTAGTGTTTTTCGAGTTAATTGCGGATAATTTAAAATATTAAAGCAATAATCGATTATATAATATTAAATTTACATTAATAACTTCAATATTGGCGACATTTTTTATAAATATTGATACAGGGTGTGTCATTAAATTAAGACATTTTTATTTTTATTATTGTTTATTAAGTACTTACGACGCCACTGGATAAACAACTGGTTTATTATAAATAACCAATTATATCCAATTAACCATATATAATAACCATAATTTTTGAAAGTAAACAAAATAAATTGAAAATATTTAGTTTTTTTGTATCCTATCTTAATTATTATGAAAGCTATCTAAAAACTTAAATCGATTATTAATTGATAATTGGTTATAATTGGTTATTGATAATAAACCAATTGTTTATCCAGTGGCGTCGTAAGTACTTAAAAAAATAATAAAATTAAAAATGTCTTATTTTAATAACACACCCTGTATCAATATTTATCAAAATTAGAACTTAAGTATCTTGGGTAAGGAGGATTCAATATAATTTATCAGATCAGAAATAAATACTGTCCTAAGGGTAGTTTACTCTTGACTCGAAAAATATCAAACCCCATTAAAACGTACGTCTATGAGGTATCGCATTTCTTACCCTGGGCAAAATGTACGTCTTATAGCCATACAACCTCCAAAAATAAAAAAGATCGCTCAACAAACAATCAAGATATTGGCTTGTATCCATCTTAAGTGGGACACCCTCTATATAACAGTTATATTATATAACTTTATCTATTACTTATAAACGGTTCTAAAATTATAACATATCTTCTAGGTTTCCAGATGCACCAAAACCAGAGAAATGTTTGGTGGTAGAGGATTCGCCCAATGGTGTTCAGGCCGCTATAAGCGCCGGCATGCAGGTTGTTATGATACCCGATCATTACGTGCCCGAAGAACGAAGAAGGGATGCGACATTGGTAGTGAGTTCATTAGATCTAATACCTCTAGAAAAATTTGGTTTGCCGTCATTAAAATAGATTTTAATTCCGAATGAATCGAATATTTAGAGATAAAGTTTATTTTTGTTAGGGCTTTAAATACAATAATACAATGAAATCGCATTATTAATTTTTGATAATAATAAATATACATGTAGAAAAAACAATATTGTTTTTTAGTTTCTCCTGTCTGTCATTTATTTTGATCATATATTACACTATATCGCTAGTCAGGAACAGAAATTGATGCCAAATTTTTGAGATGGAACTATACAGGGTGGCGCACCTCATTCGCCTCGGTTGATTATACGAAAACGGAAAGATGTAGAAACAAAATATTTTATGGGTATATGTGAGGAGGCAATGTGCACAATTTAAAATTATTTTGAAATATACAGGGTGTTTCAGAACTAGGATCCATACCAAAGTTATATTTTTTCTTATGGAATACCCGGTATTTTATTTCATTTTTGGATTCTTGGGCCCAAAAGAACTATTTATTATAAGGGTTAAATATGTTTAAAATCTTTGGTTTATAAGATATTTAAAGATATTTAAATTTGTATGCTACAATAGAATAGACTATCAACACCCTGTACATTACTTTTCAGAATTAATTCTTGTGCTGAGTTTAAAGGTAGAGAAATAAACTTTACAGAAAAATGTTATTGCTTCCTTAAATATATACAGAGGTATCAAAAATTGCTGGTCTATTTTAAATATTTATTTTACATAAAAACTTCGTTATTTCAAATGCAATACTATCTATTTTTTTAAATAAGTCAAAACAGATTTAAATGCTCTTTCAAACTATATTAGAGTTTCCTATACCTATCTGGCTGAGATTTTGAATAAAAAGCGATGTTTCAATAAAATTGTAATCAAGATGGCTAGTGTCGTCATGGCAAGTTTCTAGTGACAGTTAGTAGCTATTTTCAAAATCGAAATTAGTTTATAGACATTTAAATTTATAACAATTTACTTTTATTTAATTTACCTAAATAGTTTAATAAATAATATTTTTTAAATATGTATTTATTATTCTACCAAGAAAACCGAATAAGTAGTTCTTTGAATTATTTTACGATGGCTTGTAGATATATGAATTTTCTGTAAAAGAGCCAATTACGGCAAATTCATTTTCTTCACTTCCAACGACAGGTTTCTGCCTAATAGTTTTTTTTATAAACCACACTACAAGGCTCTGCGAAATAGGATAAGTAGTTTTCCAAAGAAACGCTCATCAGAAAGATTCCTATTTGGATATCTTTGAGTATAAACCCTTGAGGCCAAGAAGCAATTTTCCTCACAAAATAATATCACTCGTAACATATCTATTCGTTCTGCCAGCAGAAACTGCTTTATTTTTCTTGATAAAATAATGAATACTTACTTATTGAACTATGTAGGTAAATTTAAGTAAACTGTTATAAATTATAAATAATAATGTCCATAAACTAATGCCGACTTTGAAAATAGTTACTATCTGTCATTAGAAAATTGCCATGCCGACACCAGCCATCTTGATTGCAATTTTATTTAAAAATCGTTTTTTATTCAAAATATGAGCTAGATAAGTATAGGAAACCCTAATATAGTTTGAAAGAGCATTTCAATCTGCTTAGATTTATTTAAAAAATACAGGGTGTTGTATTTGAAATAACGAAGTTTTTATATAAAATATATCCTTAAAATAGAGCAGCAACTTTTGATAGCCCTGTATAAATTTAAGGAACCACTACCATTTTTCAGTAAAGCTTATTTCTCTAATTTTAAACTCAGCATAAGAATTAATTCTGAAAAGTAGTAGCATGCAAATTTAATATCTTTAAATATCTCAAAAACTAAAGATTTTAAACATATTAAACCCTTATAATAAATGCCTTTTTTTGGGCCCAAGAATCCAAAAATGAAATAAAATACCGGGTATTCCATAAGAAAAAATATAACTTTGGTATGGATCTTTGTTCTGAGACACCCTGTATATTTCAAAATAATTTTAAATTGTGCACATTGTCTCCCCACATATACCCATAAAATATTTTGTTTCTGCATCTTTCCGTTTTCGTATAATCAACCGAGGCGAATGAGGTGCGCCACCCTGTATAAAATCGACACAAGTCGGTCCTTTTGGTTCAACAGCTTTGAACTACGCAAGCTTGAGAAGTGCTTCGCGATTAGTTGATTTATTTCATACCAACAAATAGAAGTAGTTTTCTGAGTTTCTATCTACCACGTAAATCAATTTAGCGTCTGACTGTTCGAACCTTTACTTATAAATTTAAATTTAATCTCAACAAGAAACGGATAAATATATCTATATTTCATGAATATATAAATAACAGGTTGGAGATAATGCCATTACCAATAAAAAAATAGTATATATTATGTTATTAATATTTAGAGTTTAAAATATGCGCGGGCAGGTGACAGCGTTCAGTGATGAAGTAGGCGAATCAGATCATTTTATTTGGCGCGTGCGCACGAACATCCTGTTTCCTGTTGAACCAAGAGTATAGACTTATGCAAGATTGATATTCCTATTTCATTTCTTTGGCTTCAGTTTCCACTTATTGGGTAAATTCCGTATTAACTACATGTTCTAATATACAGGTTGTTAATTTGTTTATTACTCGCGGCAAGAGCTTTATGATTGAAATATGGCAACCTCCTCGGCCCGCTCGACGATAGACGACGCGACGGGACGAGTCGACAGAAAACTCTATAAATGCATGCGTTCTCAGGCAGTGTTGCCATTCTGTTCCCCTATAAGTAACTGTCGAGTTAACAACCTGTATACCGGGTGCGTCTCAAAAGTGGCTCACCCCTATAACTTTTTAATTATTTCAGAAACAAAAATGAGAGTTGGTATGTTAGTATATGACATAAATTAGTATTGATTGACGTATTCAATTGTTTTCGATCACTTCACCGGAAATGACTACAACTTTTGATTTTTAAATGACAACAACCCTCGGATTTTTTGACTATTCGATAGAAAATGACGCTCTGAAGAGAATGACATATCATATGTCAACTTTTAACATTCTCACTTAAAAAATCGTATTTCAAATCTCGACCGAGAGTGCCATGGCTGTGTTAAAAACACTAATTTTAATCAAGAAGCCTTGGAAAAATAAATTTGATGGTTTAATATTTTTTTGTGTCTTGTTCTAGCCAGTTAAAAGATGCCCAAATCGTATTTTTAATTATATCTGAATTTTTTCAAGTGGAACGAGGGTGGCTCATTGGCATATTTGGAAAAAGCATTTTTTATGAATAATTTGGTACCACACACATTTCTAGTCAAAATTGTAATTACATTTATGGCCATGGCACTCTAAATTAAATTTAAAAATGCTATTTTTTTTAATTGAAAATGTTAAAAGTTGACATATGCTATGTCATTCTATTCAGAATGTCATTTTCAACTCTCATTTACAACCAAATCAATGAAGTAAAACCAAGGGTGTCGTTTAAAAATCTAAAGTTGTAGTCATTTCCGTGAAACAGGAAGCGACTGAAAACAATTGAATACGACAATCAATCCTAATTTATGTCGTGTGACATATTTTAATGCTAAAAATATGGCGACAAATTTACCAGGGACATATAAATAGGACATCAGTGGGATATTTATCTAAAAAAATCATGTACGCCATTCTATTCAGTTGACTAAACAGTTTACTAAATCTGCTACTTGGGCAAGTACTAAATCGGGTTGTTTACACCATGCAGGTCACTAAATTTAAAATTAGTTTAGTAACTTGCTTTAGCTCCTTTATATGTGTAAATTAGGTTTACTTACGAAATATCCGATCTCATCCGGCCTCGAACCGACGTGAATGAGGAGTGTTTATCCATAGATTTTGGATTTTACATTCTTGCCATGCAACAACAGCACGCCAGAGTTTCCAGACGGTCACCCGTCCACTCATTCGCATCATCTAACGTCGCTTAACTCCAGTGATCTATTGGTTAGGTTATTATTATTATTGGGAACCGGTGTTTCGACGCAGCTGGGCCGCTACCCCAATTAAACTATTAAGGAGTCTCTACCAATGTTGTAGTAACATACTAATAGATCTAATGGTGCAAGTACACACTCGCCGAGACGACCCTAGGCCGAGACGAGGCGAGTGTGTACTTGGGGCTCTCGCCTGCTCTCGGGCCCTCTCGCTTCGCACTCTGAACGTTTTGTACCAAGTACACGCTCGTTCTAGACACTGTTTTCGCTTTTTGTCATCATTACCATAAAGCGCAATTAAAAAATAAAGAACAGTAAATGACGTCTAGGATTTGACCTTGCCAAAATTCTCATCGATTATCATTCCCCAGCCGTTTTTGACACCGTTTCTTTTTGGATAGTATGGTAGTTTTATTAGAGTCGGTTTTAAGTGTAAAAAATTGATTTAAGCCTCAAAAAAACGGCAATTTTATGCATCATAATTGCTAACACTACAGCGGAACGTGCGATGAGAATGATAAAAAGACAAGGAGTAGTTTGTCAGGGTAGGTTAAATATAGATAATTTTTAAGTAACCCTTAAGATCAAGAGGTCGGATGATTAGTTATATGTTATTTGTGGACCACTTTGTTAAAATATGAATTCGGTATTTGACTTTTACGAGTTTCTGATAACAGTTTAAGCACTGGGTTATTTATGAAATCGTGATTTTTTGAATAGCTTTGAAATTTATAATGAGAGTATGTTAATTTTAGTTGAAAATAGAAAAGAAATTAAAATGACTTTGATTTGATCTCCGGATTTAGTCCGCAGAATTGGCCTGTCAAGTACCAAAACTCTCGTATTATGGACGGTCCAATCTGGCATGCCGATTAGATCTTTGCGTGATTAAATCTTCTCGTTTGAGACAAAACTCGACGTTTTATAGCAGTTTGTATATACAGGGTGTCCCAGGCTGAGCGTGCATTAGAAGTTTCTAGAGAACCACAATATCTAGATCGGAGATTTTTTGCACATCATTGTTTTACAACGAGATCTATCGATTAAAAATATTTTCAATATGGCGGCACTTCCGGAAATGCCAGAAGTTGACAGCAACTTTCTTATTTTAAATCGGTGCCCCCATTTTTTATTATGTACTTAAATTCTCTGTAAAATTTTATGAATTTTGATATTAAATACTCTATATCTAACTTAACC